GAGAGCTGCCAAGGCGTCCGCAGAGGTGTTTTCTCCTCTAGGGATCCTGATCAGTTCGACGATTCGAACTGTTGGGTCAAGTTTTTGACTAGTTCGAGGTACGCTTCCATGCGCTCGTCTTTGGCTTCATATTCCCCATGGAATTGGATGGTGACAAGTTGGAAGTCGCTATGGGCGTGTATATCGCGGATCCCCATTCTTTGAGCTAGCTTAATGCCAGCAATGAGGGCTTCATACTCAGACTCGTTGTTTGATGCGCCGAATCCGAGTCGGAACGATTATTGGATGACTTCCCCGGTAGGGGAGGTGAGTTGTATTCCTACTCCGGATCCCTGTCGGTTGGAGGAGCCATCGACGTGGAGGAGCCATTTCTTATTGGAGTTGGTTCCATCCAGGTCCGCTAACGGAACCTCCCGTGTCGTCTTTGGCGATGGCATGTCGATGAAGGCTGCAATCTGCTTAGGATTGGCCTCGATGCCACTCTCGGTTACTAGGTATCCAAGGAATTCTCCGAAAGAGCATTTCTCGGGGTTTAGCTTCATTTCGAATTTGTTTAGGATTTTGAAGCATTCTCTTAATTGCGTGACGTGGTCTTTTTCGCGAGCTGACTTGACCAGCATATCGTTGATATAGACCTCCATCGTTTTACCTAGTTGGTCGGCGAACATTCTATTCACCAATCTTTGGTAAGTAGCTCCAGCTTTTTTAAACCAAAGGGCATTACTTTATAACAGTAGGTGCCTCGGTCAGTTATAAAAGCTGTTTTTTCTTGGTCATCTGGGCGCATAAGTATTTGGTTGTACCCGGAGAATGCATCCATGAAGGACAATAGTTCGTGTCACGCAGTGGCTTCAACTAGAATTTCGAGAGACGTAATGGAAACCTCATGTTTTTCTTATGCGGGGCGGGGGGAGGTGTGGTGACTGACCTTACTGTCCCGCCACCTAGATCGAGTTCTGCAAAGACTAGGTCTATGCGTTCTCTCCTAGCAGGTGGGGGAGAGTAACTTCCATCGGGTGTTCGTTCTCGTTTTTTTTGCTTGGGAGTTTGCTCCTCCTCCTGCTCGTCGGGAGGAGGGGTTTCAACTTTGGGGTTTGAACCTTTTTTAGTCTTTCCCCCAGCTGCGCGACACTCCTCGGTGGAATGTACTCTTTTCTTGTGGTACTTGCAATATTTTCCGAGGTCAAGTTCTGGACTCTCGTGCTCAGCTGCCTCGTCTATTGCGAATAAGGTATGATGCCCCTGCGTTTGGTTTCCTTTTTGAAGGGTTTCTTAATTGCAAGGGGAGCATTTTGCGTTTTAGATTCTTTGAATCGTAAGGCCAGCACAGCGAGCTCCTCTTCGGCTTTGGCGAAGTGGAGAGCTTTGTGAAGAGCATCGTCTAAAGAGACTGGTTGCCTAACAGTGAGTTCTTCACGGAACCTAGAGGAGAACCAAAGGCCGTTACGAAGGGCTGCTATGGCTACCTCTTCGTTTAGGTTTGCAATTTTCGATTTGATTGCTTTGAAGTTTTCGACGTTAGATCGCAGGGATTCGTTCTGAAGTTGAGTGAGATTCCAGAGGTCGGCTTCGGACGTCCTATGTTTGATAAGTATCGAATATTGTTTTAAGAAAGCGGCGGCGAGCTGGTCGAAGGTATCAATGGAGTTCCCTTCGAGGCTAGTAAACCATTCGAGGGCGTGACCTACGAGGTTTTCTGCGAAGAAACGGCAATGACCTGCTTTGTTTTCTTCATCTGTCAGGTACGGTCGTGTTATAGCGAAACAGAAGGATCTCAGATGAGCCTTTGGGTCGCTCGTTCCGTCGTACTCCGGGAAATGGAGTCTCTCGACGTCTCGGAGGCGAAAAACGAGCGATCCTATCCGTGAACGGGGTGCGCCTGGTTTTTTCAATCACGCGATCTATGTCGGGAGCATCGCTCACTGCTAGGTGCATTCGAGAATGCATTTGAGCCATGTTTGCGTTTGTTTGAGCTGTGTAATTGCGGAATGTTTCCATATCCACGACGTTACGCGGATCAACCGGTGCTTGGGGACTGTTAAGGAGGTCGCTTCCTGGTATCCGGGGAACGGATGGCGGATTAGCGATTGAGGTCCGTTGTTGCGTTGAGTTCCCGGGAATGGGGGAACTGGATGCGGTTGTTTGGTTTCTAGTCCACGTGTACCTAGGGGGCGAACAGCCCATCGGTAATAAAGGTGGTGCCGGTAACCTTGGGAAGGCAGGCGTTGTGCTTGTTTCGTTTCCTGTTGCCAGGTTTTCGACGAGAGTGTTCGCAGGTGCCTGCAAAAAGGCGACCTGCCGGTTGATAGGAGGTGAGACGTCTATCGAGGCGAAATCCAGACGAGTTCTCAGAGTAGGATCGGCCGGGGAGACGGTACCTGTCAGATCTATGGGGACCTGGGCAGGAATCTCAGTTTCGCGGGGGGGGGGGGGGGGGGGAACCTCTTTACACGCGATATCGAGCTCTTCCTCATGTGCCATGCGAGTGGAATCGCGTCTCTACCGACCCACAATTGCGGCGAGGTTGCGATGCATAATTTCTTGGTTTTTGGTTAAGTTGATCAAGTTAATGATCATTGCGCGGAGCTCGGCCAATTCGCTGGGAGGTCGCGGGGGGACCTGATTAGACAGGTTGGTCGGGTTATCTCCGTTTGGAGGCTGTATCGTGACGTTTCGTTCTCCGCCCCTTGTTTGCGGAGGGGGAGTGATTCGGTCAGATCCAGAAGAATTCGAGTTTTGGGAGATGTTCTCCGTGTCAGTGTTATGGATAGCATCAACCTGGGCTCCGGGAGGGAGATCCGTTGGGAGGTGCCATGATCGTTGGTCACAATTGATGTGTTAGTTTCGGTGTTGGAATGATCTATTTCCGTCCCCACAGACGGCACCAAATGTCGGTTCTGAAATCCACACTCGATATTTGTATTTAAGATTATGAGAAAGGAGGGCTAGATATTCACTGAAACCTTGAGAGTTGTATTGCTAAGAACGAATGGACTTTTGTATTAATTATGACAAAGCTTTTACAATGTGAAAAGGGATTACAAGTGTAAAAGTGTGTGTATCAATGTAAGCTGGATTGAATGTCTCTTCCAAGTCGTCCTAGCTCCCTTATATAGGTCTACTTACGTGGTAGCTCCGTCCGGGATATGCGGAGATCCTCCTGGATATTTGGCAGGTTAGTTCCGAGATATCAGGTCCGCTCCGCGAATATCTCTTCGTCAGTTCCTAGGTCATTATTCGCTTATCTCCCTGCATCAAGTGACTGGGCTTATCTAGCCCAAATACCCATTCGCGTATGTGGGCTCGTCAGCTGCGTAGGTCCTCTACTTAGTGGGCTTAGTGGACTTTTGTGGGCTGGCTTGGTATTTTCGCAGGTGGATTCCTGGAGGGAAATCCAGCTCCAACAGCTATCCTAATCATGCAAAGTGTGCGAGAATGATGAGAAATGATATAAAACAGTGATGAATGATATGAAACTAGACTCCAAATGATGATGAATGAAGACTGAAAACATGCAAATTATAGACATATCAAGCTCTTCCAGCAGCTCCATAGAATCTAGTTGAAGAGGTTCCACGGGTCCAACCAGCTCCTGTGGTCATCCCTCCTATAGGTACGAGCTTTCATTTTTGATTTGATGCTCGGTTTTGTGGTCAAACGGGTACAAAGTAGTAACCTGAACGGTTATGTTTGTTCAGCTCCTCCCGATTCTAGCTCTACTTCAGACCTTCCAGAGATTCTAGAGATTTGTAGGCTATAGACCAAGAGATTGGCTAGTCTGCTTATTGGCTTTGGTAGATTGTTGCTTAAACCCTGCTCTGCTATGTTTCATCAACGAGAGTTGAGATTAGGAAGTAGTAGAGTTATGGGGGTCTCTGTCACGAGAGTGGATTGACCCGGTTTTTTTGAATCTATCGTCTAGGGTTTCTGCCTTTCACCTGTTAGCCACTTGATGAGCCCTAGAGTTGCCCTTATCAATGAATCCATCCTTAGGACTTCTATTCTTCTTAGATTTATTTGTATTCACCCCCTCATTGCACTTCTATTTAACTGTTATTTGTGTTACTTGTTGATTGCATTTTAGTTCTTAAATTTGTTACATGTTGGTTTTACTCGACCCAATGATCGAGAAAGGCTTTTAAAGTTCTCATTTTCGTTGTTTGAATCCTGACCTAGGATTGTTACTAGAAACCAACCATCTCTATAATCAGGTTTGACTTAGTTGCTTCTGTACACATCTTGATTGCTAGCAATAACAGTGGACTGGATTGACACCCCCTATAGCTGCATCGATATGTTAGTGTTTAAGCAGAATTGAACTGAACACACCACACTTCAGCACATTAAGTAGGCGTAAAAACCTACTTATCAATTTGGCGCCGTTGCCAATTCATTGTTGCATTGTTACATTCAAGATATCAGAAAAAGTTAAGATCAAGTTCTTTTACATTTATCAAGTTACTAACTCATCTTTTCGTCTGCTTTTCTTTGTGGTATAGGTACTAATCTTTGTGCATGCAAACTCGATCCAAAGGTTTTGCACATCTACTACAATTCAGAGACACAATTGACAGAAGAGCTTGTGAATTACAAGAAACCAAAGCAAAGGCAGCCTGTGATCAACAAAGACCAGCTGCTATGGATCAACTGAACAGACGAGTTGATGTTCAAGACCCACCTAATGTTGATCAACCAAGAAACATTGGTGCTGGTGATGCCCCAAGGAATCATCACCAAAGACAAAGGATAGTGCCTCCACTAGTTCAGAACAACAACTTTGAGATCAAGAGTGGTCTCATCTCAATGATCCAAGGAAACAAGTTTCATGGTTTACCTATTGAAGACCCCCTGAACCATCTTGACAGCTTAGACTATTTCCCTTCTCTTTGGGAGACAAGACACACCATTGGGAGAAGACTCTGCCCCCTGACTTCATCACCTCATGGGATGATTGTAAGAAAGGTTTTCTTGCCAAGTTCTTCTCTAATGCTCGCACAGCTAGATTGAAGAACGAGATTCTCAGGCTTCACACAGAAAAACAATGAAACTTTCTGTGAAGCTTGGGAGAGGTTTAAAAGCTACACCACTCAGTGCCCCCATCACGGTTTCAAGAAAACTTCTTTATTGAGCACACTCTATAGAGGGGCTTTACCAAATATCAGAATGCTTCTTGAGACTCCCTCCAATGGAAACTTCCTGAACAAGGATGTAGAAGAAGGCTGGGAGTTAGTCGAAAATCTGGCATAATCTGATGGGTGCTACAATGAAGACTATGATCGCTCATTGAGAGGATTTGGAAGAAATGAGGATAAACTAGCAAAGATATGAAGGCTCTGAATGAAAAGCTAGACAAGCTGTTGCTTGCTCATGAGAAGCAGATACACTACATCACTGATGAAGAACACTTCCAAATGCAAGAAGGGGGGAATGATCAAATTGAAGAGCTGTGCTACATTCAGAACCAAGGAGGGTTCAATAAGGGCTAGAACAACTACAAGCCCAACCCAAACCTCTCCTACATAAGCACTAATGTAGCTAACCCCCAAGATCAAGTGTATCCACCACAACAAAATCAGTCTAAAGCCTTTTGTTCAGTACAACCAAGGTTATGTCCCTAAACAACAGTTTAATGGAGGCTACCAACAGCAGAATCCACCACCAGTGTTCACTCAACAACCACAACAAGCGCCAGTAATTCAAGATCCTGAAATTAAGCAAGTCATTCAAAAATCATTCAAGGACAAGCTACTGGAGCTATTGCTTTTGACAAGAAGATAGCTGAATAACACAATAAGATCGATTGTTCTTACAACGATCTAAATGTCAAGTTCAAAGCTCTGAATTCCAAAATCAAGTATGTGGAGAGTCAATTTGCACCAACCTCTGCTCCGAAGCATCCTCAACAACTTCCAGAAAAAGCAGTCCAGGATCCTAAGGACTATGCTACTGCTAATGCTATCACCATCCACCAAGAAGATGAGTTTCCACCAAGTCATCAGACTCCCAATACTGAGGATTGTATGATTCAAGATTCAAGAAGGGGGGATTCAACTCAAATTGTTGCACCTGCCACCCAGCAATTCATCTGGACTATAGAGCACACACCTTTGCTGAATACTCACCATTATGGAAAAAAGCTCAAAATTGAAAAACTCAAGAAAGATCAGAATCAAGAGATGATTAGTAGAGTCATCACTCAAGAAACGTACAAGAAGAAAGTTATCCAAGAAAAGCTTGATGATCCTGGTTTATTCACTCTGCCATGCCCTCTAGGACCATTGACATTCAATATGTGCCTTTGTGATTTGGGAGCATCTGTTAGCCTTATGCCTCTCTCTAAAGCTAAAAGGCTAGGGATCATGAAATACAAGTTCTACAACTTAGCTTTACTCTTAGCTAATGGTTCTGTTGCACATCCTCATGGTCTAATAGAAAATCTGCCTGTCAAGATTGGAAATGTCGAGATACCTACAGATTTTGTGGTATTGGACGTAGATGAAGAAGGCAAGGATCTCCGAATCCTAGGTAGACCATTCTTAGCTTCAGCTAGAACAGTCATAGATGTCAGGAATGGAAAATTTGATCTAAACCTTGAAAAAGGTATCAAGATGAGATATGACATCAGAAAAGCTTCAGGGAAATCAACAACAGGAGGTAAGAATTTTGGGATTCAAGACATGGATGTTGATGAAGAAACAGAAGTTGGAACCCCACCAAGAGTTAACTATACTTCTCAACTCAGCAAGTTAAAGAGAACTTTTGACCATAAGAAGAGAGTAATAGAAGGGTTAGCTTAGACTGAAGATCCTACAGAAGATGACTGGTATGAGATGAGAAAAAAATTTAAATGGCAAAGCAGAGTCATAGAGGGATTATCATCAAGGGTGATGAAGCTGAAAGATCAACTATGGATGTTTGAAAAAAGAGTTAATAAGTTTTCCATGGGTATTGACCGAGAGAAGATGGAAACTGCACTAGCTATCAAGGAGGACGAAGATTTTACAACAGAAATGGTTTGCACCAGAAGATCAGAAAGGAGTTCACTTAGAGGAAAGAAGCCTAGAGAGCAAGTTGTTGAGTGAGGAGAAAATCCCTATTCCGACTTATTCTCCAGGAGTGCCTAAACCTCCCACCAACCCCTATGCTGAAGAAGAACACTTGATTCTTGATTCTGTTGCTAAAGAACTCCTGGAGCTCTGGATTGGATATAAAGCTCAGGAGGATACAATTGGAAAGTTAACTCATAAGATGGAAGAGTTAAATAGCACCATTCTGGAACTTCAAGAAATGGTTAAAGGCTACCCGAACTTTGAAATTGAGGATTGGTGAAAGAAGCCTAGTTTAGAAGAAGAAGACTACTCTGCTGATCAAAAAGAGGTTTATTGTGAAGAAAAATCAAATGAGTACTCATCATACCATACGTCATGAGAGGATGCAGAGTATGATTCAGGCATTAAAAATTCAACCACTGAAGATGAGGACTTTTCTGTTTCGCTCTTCAACCTTTTTTCTGACTAAGCTCAGTAAGAGTCAAGCTTAGTAACTTAAAACAAGCTCACGTGGGTGGAAGTCCCATGTCTATCCATGTATATAACTTTCTATCTTTTTTGTTATTTTTGATGTTTTTGTTTAAGTGTTTCTGGTTTGTTTTATTGACCCTAAGGAAGTCAACAGTCGAGTAAATTCAAAACAAGTCAACAATCATCTCAACCGTTGATCGAGTAAAGTGCGGAAGAGAGCTTTAAGCCGGTGATTTGAATGACCAAATGAGAGAAGCATCACTACCGTTTGATCGAGTGACTTCTTGAGGTTTATTCTGGTCCGTTTGATCGAGTGATTAAAAGCGAAGCATTCTCCACAGTCCGATCAAGTGAAGAAACCAAAGAGACCACCTTCTGGACTCCGACGCCTCGTGACCCGCCTCCATTGAAACGCTGTTGTCTCTTTGTCTTCTTAACCCCCCATAGTTGCTTTGGTCCCCCCATTGCAATTCCCGAACTCAACAACCTCATCTCTCCACCTCTCATACCAAAGCAATCTCGAATTCTTATATCTCTCTCTATCTCTTTTTCTTGCACTTCCGCTTTCTATCAAAAACTCAACATAATACATCTATTTTCTTCATCACTCGATCTCTTAACCTTTGAGTCTCTCTTTCTCAATGACAAACAGGCGCACGCTCCTGTCAAGGATCCGGAACAGAGCTCTCTCCCCATCGAAGAGGTACCCAACACTTTCTTCGCATGCAGCAGCTCGAGGACTTTCTGAACCATCACCCAAGGGGTCGAGAAGGAGAGAACAAGCAAGTTTCGAGATCGATCATAGCGAATCAAGCCAAGAGGAGGAAGTGATGGAAGAAGAAGAAACTTTCAGCCCTCCCGCTGGAAATACTCGATCCCGAAGGTCGAGTAAGTCCTCTACAAGAGAATTCTCAAGGTACAAGGCAGACATCACTCGAGGAAAAAAGCCCGTGGGGAGGAGGTTGGAACTTGTAGATGAAGACTCTGAGGAAGAAATGGCTTCACGAGAGGAAGCTGATCAAACAGAGAGAGGAGGTGGTGATGATTTGGAATCAGAGAAGTGTGCAACTCGAAACGAGTACTACAAGCTGCTGAAGCGCAATGAGTTTTTAGGAACTACCCTCATCCCGAGACCATGGTGTTTGAATTAGAAAACCCGTTATAAATACACTTGACTGCCATTTCAAATAAGATAGCATAGCAAAAAAGATCTCCAACAGTTTCGACAATTTTACCTTGTGTTCTGTTTTTTTTTTGCTTTTCGACAGAGAAGTATCATCATAAATTCTTCTTCATCTACAATAGAAAAAGAGATTGTTATTAATTAACTTGATTTGATGTTTGTTTTGTGTCTCGAGAAGAGTAAATGAAACAATTAGTAAATGATTTGATGGTCGGATTGCATGTTATGGTTCATCCATATGCTCTATCACAATCTTCATCCATATGATCTATCAATTGGATCAAACGGTTCTAGCGGAACAAGAGCGGATCAAGCGGTTCCAAATAAATGTTGAATGGTGAAAGCGGATCAATTATTACGGATCTTATTATATAATATTAATTACAATTTTATTTATAAATATAGTAAATAGATTTATTGTGATAATTATTGAAGTATTTAATTTTTTAAATAAAATACAATAGTAAAAACAATTAATATCTAGTATTTTGATTTTTCCATAACATAACAAATAATTTATAGATATAAAATGAAAAAAGAATGTATACATTAATATATTATATCTCTTGAAATAGTTTATTGAATTATGATATTTTTATATTATTATGTATGAAAATACTCAAAATAGTTAAAATTTTATGTATTTTAAATATATATTTCAATGTACTATGTTTATAATGTTATGTAATTCTATACTAATAATAAATACTAATCAAAACTAATAAATAGTAAAAGAAATCTTTTAAATAAAAAATTTAATAGTAAATTATTCTTTTAGTGTGATTTTTTAGTGTTATGGTTGGAGAGGACACAAGTTTTAACGCTAGAAATGGTGTAATTTAAACACCATAATGGTGTTTAGCCTTGAAGATGCCCTAACACACAATATTAAATGATAAATTTATAAGAAAATCAACTTATAACCCTCATTTTTTTTCTCCCCAGTTTCTTTCTTTCTCATTCGGTTTTCACTTTCTTTAAAAAATGGGTACTTATGCATTTAGCTAGGGGGTGAGCCGCTATTAAGCTCTTCTGCTCTTGCATAACAGTGATGATGACCGCAGTTGTGTGAGGTCTGCTGCTTCTTGGGATAAAAACCAACAGGTTTATGGTGGAAAAAACGAGGTTAAATGAGGTTATTCTTTATGTTTTTCTAAAAATGGTCCGATTGCTGTTATGGTTCATCCATATGCTTTATCACAATCCTCATACATATGCTCTATCAAGCGGATTAAGCGGTTCTAGTGGAACAAAAGTAAATCAAGCGGTTCCAAATAAATGTTGAATAGTGCAAGGGGATCAATTATTACGTATCTTACTATATAATATTAAATTATGATTTTATTTATAAATATAATAAATAGATTTATTGTGATAATTATTAAAATATATAATAATTTTTTAA